GGCCACAGGCTAGCTAAGGTTGTGAAGTAACTTAGTAAGTGAGACAGCCCGTCTGCATTATGGTCTATGAAGTGAATTAGTTAGTTCTGATCCACACAGAAGGCAGAGAGAACGTAATGTTTCTGTCACACTTTCTTTCCTTCCAAGAGTAGAAGATACTTAATCCAGGCTGACTCCACATTTTCATCTTCGGCCTAAGGAGGCCTCAGGCACTCTGACCACCAGAGGGCACTGTGTCAACAGCCGGCTCCTCTCAGCTAAAAGTGACTTCACCAGGAAGTCCCTTTCGGTACAAGGTGTTTGTATTCTCAGGGCTCATTTTGTAGGACTTCTGTCCACACCACGGCGCTCACTCTCTGTCCTCAGACTGTGTGGGGGGCCCAAGTAAAACTGACCCTCCCTCTACGTCGTCTCAGCTGCCACCACTACAAACCAATCATTCAAGTTACTCGGGTGTCACCTGGAATTTCTCCCTCATAAACTGCCTTACCAGTTTCCCTACCCGTATTTCCCACATCTGCCCCTTATTTCATCCCTGCTTTCTCTGCCCTTGTGAGGCCTCTATTATCAACCCAAGTGATTATAACAAGCTCCTGAACCGCTCCCGTAAATCTGCCCTCCACTTAGCGGATGCACGAAGAACAAAAATGAAGACTGTCATTCTCCTGCCATAGTTCCCCCTCGTGTATCCTCAGGCTAAGGTACAACTCGTGAGCGAGCGTCCGAGGAACCTCTGTGCCCCGCATCTACTCTTCTGTGTGGCTACTTCCTACTTCAAGCTTCACGCCTGAGCAACACAGAACTACTCGCTAAGCCACCCTCACTTCCCTCACGCTACACTGCTTCGTGTATTTCTTATGCTTAGGTTTTACTCACGCTGATTGGGTCTGTCTGAACCTCCCACACATCACCTAAGAAGGCCCATCACCTCCTCTGAAAGCGTCGGTAACACCTTCCTCTTCCACCGCTTTGTATTTCTGCGTAATGTCCTTATTTTGCATGTACTCTGTTACTCTATTTTAATGATCAGAACAGCAATACTGAGCAGGCACTCGAGGAGGCTAACCAGAAGGCCTGAGCCCCGGCGCCTAATGATCGCCCTCCAGTGGGGTGCTTAACCCATTCATGCCTCAAACACTCTCACCTCAGAAGGCACAGTATTTCTCCTAGCTACTATTGTGAGGCAGTCGGTCACCTAAATAGGAACTGGCTACAATTTTATCCGTGTGCTGATCTCCCTCACTACCTTGTGAGCAGCTTGAAGGCAAAGGTTTTGGCTCATTCCCTGTACCACAATGGGAGGAATCTCCTGGGTCTCCTTCTTTCAGCAGACCTTAACACATGTGAAAAAAAACTGTATTGTTTCCAGTTCTGTGGCTCTAGTATTTTTAAAAATTCTAACCCAAATCCTGAAAACTCACATCATGGTCTAATTACAATTCAATGAAATGAAACCAATGGAGTATCATAAAAAAAAAAATGTTCCTTCTAAGCTTAAACCTATTCCGATTTCCTTCACTCGAAGGCAACGAAAACTGAAGTCTTCCCTTCACATGGCTGTTCCCGTTGCTGAGAACTTCTGTGTCCATCTGAAGCCCTTCTGATGGGCGTAAGGCAGATGCCCCAGTTCTGCGCTGCCCCGTTTACACGTGCCACTGTAGGGTGACGTGTAAGGTAGCATCCAAGTGGGGCGCTGTATCTGTCTCCACACTTAAGGCCAGAGTTGTCATCCCTGGGCCCCTGGCTTTAAGTGCCTGCTATTAAGAAATGGTCTTCCTCAGTAGTGCAACCTCTGAGCTTCTCACACGCTGCCTAACATTTCGTTGACATTTGACGTTTTGAAATGCATAAACATGGAAGTAGGAAGTTTTATTTTGCTTTTCACTTTTTGCTTATTTCAGCCATAGCAACTTTTACATACTGCCTGACATTTTACAGAGCATTTTTCATACATTATACACCTGAGTCTCGTAAGCACCCTGAGACTGGGATTTTTATTATCCTCATTTTGTGAATGGAAAAAACATGTCCAGTGGTTGATTTACCCCGAATTGCTCATCCTCTAAGCAGAAGCTGGGACTCAAACTCTTTTGATTCAAAGCTCGAAGTTTCAGTTTTTGTAAACCAGACTACGCTTTCTGGACATGACTACGAGCTGCAGCACTTACTACTTGAGAACGTCTACGCCTTCCAGAGCCTCCCTTTTTCCCTGGATCGGAAAGCCTTCACATCGCCCCGTCTTACAGACAGGCAGAGCGCCTGCCCCTTCCCTCTTCTTGCCCTCTGCCGACTTCCACTGCCCATGGAGCTCGCGCAACCCCAATGCTAGAGATTTTAAATGGGGATGGAGCTCTTCCGTTACCTCTGAGAAGGCTTACGTGTGTCTCACTTGGCCAACGAACACAAAAATCAGGCTGGTCCTTGAACTCTCTAACTTTAAAATTGTGAAAAGAAGTTTAAAGACAGTTGTGTAAAAAACAGCCATGTCTCCAATACCCTTGAACAACGAAGCTGTGAGTAAATTTCCATGTACTGTTTTGGTGCTTTGTTTTTCTGAACATCAACTTCTTCATAGCACATTCTTGAATATAACAGGCTAAGGGACAAGTGCTTCTGTACTCTGAGATCCCTCACAGTTAATACAGATGACCATACAGGCCAAAATATAAGCGCAGTTTGAATCCACCTTAAGCATATGCTAAGATGCCAATTACAAGGGGCATTTATTCCTGAGTCCTTACTACTCCCCCTAGAATCCATCCCATGCCACATCTGAAAGCAGCACCCCCCCATTAGGAAGTCCCTTTTTCACATTTTCTTCTGTGTAACGTTTGGCACGCACCCTCTGGATAATGATCAGGAGGAATCCCTACCATCTAGTACCAACACAGAGGTATTTTGGCAGTGGTCTTCAGGGCAAGTACCGTATATCCACTTATACCCAACTGTAAATTAGGAAATGACCTACCATGTGAGGGATTCTGTTTTAATAAGTCCGACAGGTACATATCAATCCATCAGAGTGGGTATCAACACTAACGAAGTGTGAGAACCACCCCAGCAACATTCCCTGGATGAGGTCAAACCTGAAATAGCAGCTCTGATAGATTTAAATTCTCATGCCTACGACTTCAAAGAAGAATTTGAGATCAACTCAAAACCTCCCTTCCCCTCCACCTGACAGTGCTCGCCAATCTCAGGAGCGAACTGAGAACCTGAGCCCGTGAGTCCTGACAGGCTGCCGGAGGGAGGCAGGGTCAGGCACACAGCAGCCCGGCTATGATCGAATGTTGCCCTCTCTTGTTTCTAAATCAAGGACTTGACTGCTCACAGGGACTCTCTGGGGAACAGGAGTCAAAATGACTTTCACTTTTGCATTTTACATATTCCGGTATGGGCTGAATTTTTATAAAGAGCGTGGATTTCATAATTTTAAAAAAGTATTTCCATTTAGAGGTGTCTTGAATAACTTAATGTTTGGTTCATATGAGACTGTAAGAAAAATTACAAAGCAATTCCACTATTTCATCACGAGGTATTACACAAGAAAATATCAAGAGCTGGGTGTGGTAGCGCTTGCCTATAGCAGCACTCAGAAGGCTGAGGCAGAAGGATCACCGTGAGTCTGAGGCCAGTCTGGGTTATACAGTGAGTTCAAGGGCAGCCTGCACTACATAGTGAGACCTCGTCTCAAAAAAAAAAAAAAGCAAGGAAAAACAAAATATCAGAAGACAGCATCCTATAGAGGCCAAAGTGATCTCTCAAGCAGGTATTTTTCAAATATACTTTTTAAACAAAACCTATGGAAATGTTTCTGCATTTCTGTATCAAACGATTCCTTCCCCCTTTGGGCCAGCAAAGGCTTAGTACCTTTCCTGGCCACAGGACAGCTTGAAGGCAGGCATTTTTTTTCTCCTGCACATTAGAAGAGAAATCGTATTGCAAAGAACACGGAGACACTTCTTAAAAGGTCCATGAACTGTACCTTCCCCAGGGCCTGGCAAAGGAGCAGAATGAGGAAGCTGTACAAAAATTTGGCAGTGTTAAAGTGAAATAAGCAGCACAAGGTCAAGAACGAGTGACTTCACGGCAAGGTCCTGATTACAAGTTTTCTCTGAAAAGGATGCGCCAGCTCCCCCACCAAAGAGTAGGCCGTCACGATAGTGGTGGGAAGAACAGAAACACTGCTCAACCTGGGTTACTCAAAACCATAAAAATCTGCCCTCCGTGGGGAAATTCTGTGTTAACATGAATGTAAGACCAGAGCTGACGGCGGCTTCCCGCGGACTTTCTGTTTATTAACCTTTGCAAAGCTTTCACCTCCGCCACGCTCGTTTCCTTCGAGAAGGAAGCCTCCCCCACCTAGGTCCCAAAGCACTCGGGTATCCCTAAAGCATTATTACATACTCAGCCAGCGATCCCAAACAAAAGTTTTAAGGTTCGGAGCCAAAGACAGCCCGCCACCATGCAGGCTTCGTCTTCCCGGGTCTCCACTCTCGCTACTTCTCGCATTTGCACCAGCACCTCGCAGAGCCTAACTTCTGCGTTTCACAGACGCCCGCGATTGGTCTGAAGTTGTCATGAGAACTGCGCCCTTCAAGCCCGCCTCAGAGGGCCCCGACGCGGCTCCGGGAACTGCCTGTGACTTCGGGCGTCCAAGGGGAAACTCTTCCCGCCGGGATACACCCGAGTGGGAAATCCGCGTGCACCTACCGCACTCAACTCTTCGGGAACACTAGCGCACACCAGCCAATGCCCTCACCCGGAAAAGAGGGGCTCTGCTGAGCCTCTCCCGGCGCGCAGCTGCGGAGGCGTCCCGTCAAGCCTTCACCGGAGCGGACGCGCGGCCGGGCCGGAGGGAGCGGCGGGCGCAGAGCGGCCCGCGCCGGGTCCAACGCCCTCGCCGGCGCGACCGCACTCGGTAGGCGCCACCGCCGGGGCGAGCGCAGGCTCCCCGGGACACGGATCCTGCCCAGGGAAGTCTCCAGCCCCACACCTACCGCTTCTCACTGAACAGAAAGCGTGCGTGCCGGCGAGCAGAGGGTGGGAAGGCACGCCGCAAGAGCCGGCCCGGCGGCCGGCCGCCTCCCGCCCCGGCGCGCGCCA